CGCCATCGCGCGCCCCCCGCACTGCCAGTCTGTCGAGGGCCCCCCGGCATCCCGGCACTTCAAACTCCAAGATATGCCAGCGCAGGCGGGGCAGCAAATGCTCTTGAAGGGTATGTCCACAGAGGTCGTCGCCATCAATTCCCACGCGTTCGCAAGCAGGACAAACGAAAGCCTCCGGCACGGTGGTCGCGCCATCGGATCGCCCTCGGCCGGCGCAGCAGATTCCTCGGAGCACACCGTTGCGCATGAGTTCTTTCTTTACGTCGATGAAGAGAAACTGGAGCTGCTCCACGCATCGGCAATATATGCAACACATTCGGGCCAGAAGCTGCTTCCCATGCGCCCCCCCCCCCCCACCCCCACCATGGTCATCGGGCAATGCGCCGCGAGCTGCTTTCTGACCGGAAGCACAGCGCCCCCCACGGACCCCCCCGTCTCCTCTCAGCGCCGTGAATGCGGCGCGCTCGTGCTGCGATGTTCAAGAAATAGCGCGCCCTGATCCCTCCCAGATTCAGTTGCACGGAGCCCCCCCCCCCCCCCCCCCCCCTCGAAAAATATGCCCCCCGACCCATTCCTACTAGCCTAGCACAGTCGTCAAGTAGCTCGATCGTTTCGGCGTCTTCATGCAATTGCTCGCGCCATGGAATCGCTCTCTCGCCGCCCAAACACTCGTCGGTTTCGGCATGTCCGTCGCCCCGGAAGCGGAAAACACCGCGAGAAACTTGGCAAATCAGTCGCGCCCGTTCAGACACCGCTGAAGCCATCGGAGCCTTCGGCCCATCACGTCGACGCGCGGGCAAGCTAGCTACACTTTTTTGAGAGCCTGGAGGTCGGACATCGCTCTGGCTGCCCATGTCTTATTTCTGCTGGCCAGCTCCCCGCGACAACCATGTTCACGCGCACTGCGAGGAAGCCAAGGATGGGCCGCCAGCCACCTACTCGCGCGGGCCCAGCCTTCGCTCAAAGAACTGCTGCTCCACTGTAGCACGCATTCGCCACGTAGCCCTTGGGAAAATTGCCCCCCCCCGGCCGAAGGGGGCGTTGCTATTCCAGAACTTGCCGAGATTGCACTTCGCAGCTCGTCCTGCCATCAACCGATACTCCATCTCGCTGAGGGCGAATCTGGAGCGCAGTCCGGGCTCGGAATATCCGGCACCGACTGTCGCCCTCCCGTCCGAACGCTGCACATGTAGAAACTCGGCCCCAAGGTAAACAGCATTCTGCCTACGCGGGCGCAAAATATTCCCAATCTTGCTCGCGCCCGGGGCCATCGCGATTTCGCCGACGCCCGGTGACGACGGCGCTCTGGCACTTGCCCGGACACATCATGGACTCCGTCGCGCTCGGCACGTCGAAATTGCCGCCGCATCGCCAACGCACAAGGTAAAAGCCGCCTGGGCCCAGTCCTTAGCCCAGAAACAAAAAAAGACTGATCCGCTTGTAATGCTCCACGCGCACATACCCCGTTCTAATCTGCCTGGAATGAGCCCCCGCAAAAAGCCCCACCACGAAGACACCTTCGACGGCGCAGAAAAACATCGCTAGCGGCGCCGCCCGGTACCACGAAACAAGCTAGAGGCTAGAGCCACTCTGACATCCAGTATCTGCCAGTCTTCTGCTCGAAGAAACGCGCTCCACCTCGTCGCGCAGGCCGTCGCAAAACTTCCCGACACGGAACCCCCTGCCACGAGATTGGCAGGCTCTGGCATTTCTCCAACAGCAGCCATGCCGAGCAATGGCCGCCGCCTCTCGCCGCCTGCCCAGGAGACATCCATTGATCCAAGATTCGACTTCAGGCGGCGAGCCCCTTGCCATCAAAATTCTGTAATAGGCGTTCGCGATTGCGCACGCGAGCGCGATAAGTCCCTCCCCGTCGACCCCCTCATCCTGGTTGCATTCGCCGATCCTGCGCGCGTCGGATAAGGCCCACGGCGAAGTAGCTCGCCACCATCTCTAACCCCTCTGAAAAAAGGCAGCCCGCTATAAAATATGCTGGCACCGCTGGAACCTCATCCTCCTCCTGCTCGCAGCCGACACCGCGGCTGCTCTGCTCGCACCTTCCGTTGATCCAATTGGGGAACATGGCCACGCGCAAGAATTAAACGCGCATGCTCTGCGGGGTCACTTGCCATAGTCGTTATCGCCATGCCTCCCGCTCGAAAATCCCGACGCCTTCCCCCGTCTCTTCGGCGGTCACGGCGTTGGCCTGCTCGGGCAGCTCTCGAAGCAGCTGAAGCATGGCGCCGTAGTCCACGACTAGCACAGCAGCTCCACCCAACGCGCCCTCTGCTTGCATCCGCGCGATCAATTCTGAGGCGCCTCCACTCGTCGGTAGTTGTCGGTAGCTGCGTCGTCGCGGCCCTCGCCCTTTTGCCGCAATAAACCTCGCCAGCCAATTTGCTTCGAAGAATTATCGCTGCGATCGGGCCCCCTCGACGGCGCGGACTCGATCTTCCTCGACCCTTTGCAAATATGTTTCCGTGGCAACGCGCTGATCGCCGCGATCCTGATGGCGACCTCGAGTTGCGCGTCCGCATCGTGCTGCGCGCAGGCCCGCGCTAGCTGCTCTCGCACTTCTCGACTCTGCCGGAATAGATGGCGCAGCTCCTTCGCGCACTGCTGTCCGCAAGAACCTCGACGAATCATTGGTTCGCCCCCGCAGCCATTGCGTAGCCAGACTGACTTCTGACCAAGGCAGCCTTGGCCGAAATAGTGTCGCACACGATCTCGTTGAACTCTCGCCGTTTGTAGCCTGTCTGTAAAAGACCACTCGCCGCCGATGGCTCGATTCGCACCTGCTTCTCATCCATGGCCAGGAGTGTGATGTTCGTGCTCCAACAGCCGCCAATTCCAACTGGTAGGTGACCCTGTTCACGCCCTCATCGATGTGGTTGTAATCTTCTCATGTTCCGCTTGACCGTCGTGCGCAATTTGGCCGATGACTGCAATGCTGAGGGTCGAGCAATGTAAGCAAGCGTCCGCGTAGCACCATTGGAAGCCACAAAAGTGCGTCCTGCATCTCGTATTCTGCTTATCATGCACAGCTCGTGTGCAACGAAGATTGGCTTGAGCAGAGTTGCCGACCTTCTCCTCTCTTCGCCACGACCGAAGGGCCCAATGACCTCCCCAATCTCATCGGTGAAACTGAATTAAGATTCGTTGTGATCAATGGAATCCATCTGCCCGCTACTGCGTCGAGAGTTTGGACAGACGTTGAACGACCGCCCGCAGCAATTCGAATACTTGAATTGCTCTGCCTTGTTCCGAGGGTATGGCGGGGAATCCAATGACACAAGAACAACTCGGAAAAAAACGGTCGTTGTATGCTGCAGCAAGAGACTCAACCTTGCAACCCTCCCAGAGCTGGTATGGTTCCTCGAATTGGCTGGTCTGAAGACACCATTGTGAAATCATGCGCCCTTTCCCACAAGATCTATTCGACATGGTTCCGCCCTTCCATCCCTCCGAGTAGCCCCAGAAAGAAGAGAGGTGGCGAAATTCCTTCGATTCTTGCAATTCCTTCTGCTGAGTGCCGAAGAGGCTCACCACTGTCACTCTGTGCAGCTCGTCTAATATGTCCTGGGCGCGCCCGCGAGTGGAGCTGTGCGAGTTGTAAGCGACGACGATTACTTGCCAAAGAAGCGCCGCTGAGCACTCGGATGGCATGGCGGAGTGCTGCTGTCGCTTCCAGCATTTCGTAAAATCTGAAGCGGCGCAGGCCTCTCGAGACCTGAGACAGCCACTTGGAAGGGGAGGAGGAGGAGGAGGAGGAGGAGGAGGAGGAGGAGGAGGAGGAGACGAGGGAGGAGGGGGCCGAGGAGGAGGAGGAGGAGGAGGATCTCAAGATCCTCTCTTTTCCCCCGTCCGACCTATGGCAACGGTGGTGGAAAATTGGCCCATCAAAGATCCTCGCCGTTTCAGACTTCGGCAACTGAAAGGCGCCCCGAAGACCCCCAAGACATTCCCGATGCGGACCCCGAGGCCCCCACGACGAGCCCACGGGGTGCGCGAACGTGCCTCGAACGCACAGCCAAGAACCCGCCCCCCCGAAACGACACCAGAACAGACCCCCAGAGGCCCCAAGGCACAAAAAAAAACCATTGTGGCCCTCAAGGAACCATCAAGAGGCTCCCAGGCAGACAGACAGACAGACAGAAGCCGTACGCCCACAGGCGCGCCGGCAGTCACAACAAACACGATTCATGAGTTCACATATCGGGGAGGGAGGACACACTAAGGAGAGGGAGGGACTCACGACGAGAATCCCCAAGAGACCCACAAGAGAACCCAAGAGTCTCAAGAGGCCGTCGAAGAGACCCACATCTCACGAACCCGCAGCATCCCCAAATGCTGTTCCTTGCAGACCTCCGCGGAGGCTATCACGGCACGGCAGGGCTGACAAGACCAGCAGGGCCGACGAGCGCGGCAGACCAGACGAGCACGCCTCCATTCGTTCCACGGTTCTTCTGGCTCACACGTAGTATGTGTTGCGTGAAATCGGTCCCGCCTCCTGGGGCGGACAGGTCGTGTGATCACCTTATTCGCCTCACCGTGGGCCATCGCGAAGACAGAGCCAAACGCGCCAGTAGCTCACAACCAAGGTACGGTGGCGGGATGGGCAAAGGCCACTAGATGGTACGTCGCCCTTCCTGCACAACAACTTTGGGCAGGTATCGAAGTTACGAGTCATGTGGAGCGCGAGGCAACCAGGAGGGACGGGTGGGAACGGTCTGCCCGCCCAGAACTGTTTCTTTGGGCCAATAATTGCCCCGTGCGCTCCAAGGTAAGGCAGCTCAAACATGGAGAAGCGCTCACATTGCAAGAAAGCCTCCTCCGATTCCAAGCAAAAATGATTAACGAACAGCGAGAACTTGACGCTCCATCCCCCATTATTCACGAGCACGACATCTTTGTTGTCGTCTAAGTTGCCAACGAGTCTGAAGAATGACGAAAAGTGCGCCATCAATGCCGTATTGGCATCGCGCCCACGAACCAGAACGTCATCCCGATCGATGATCACAAACAAGAGGTCTCCCACGTCGATAGAGTCCCGCGCGGATGGGAAATCGATCCAAACGCCCGGTCTTACCTTCGCAAGGCATCGGGCTCCGCACGGACAGCCCCCCCTGGTGGCCCCCGCTGGCCTCAACAGGCCCCTCGAATAGTCCCAGCTGGCCCCAACAGGCCCCCCGAGTACCCCGGACTGGTCTCCAGTTTCAGGAGGCGGCGCCAAAGTGTGGAGACCGCCCTGGGCTACTCGGGAGGCCCTCCTCCTCCTCCTCCTCCTCCTCCTCCTCCTCCTCCTCCTCCTCCTCCTCCTCCTCCTCCTGACGACAGCTCTGACTATTCGGGGGCCCTATTTTCAAGCCAGCTGGGACTGCCTGGGGGGGGCTGTCTGCCCGCAGGTGCAGCAGCACAGCATGATATGTTTCGTAGCTCCGCGTGGAGATCCGACGAATTATGGTCAAACCGCTCTTTGACTCTGAGCCTCACCTGCTTAGCGGACGCCTGCGAAGCGGGGTCCGAGTAGATGGCGCCGGAGGATCGCGCCGCATCGCCGATGCATCGACGGTGCACTGGCGACGCCGACGTGGAAAATAACGAACGTGTTTCACGTCGAGACGCATCGCCGACGCATCGGAGATGCGGCGGGATCCCCCCGCCCTAAACATTCGGACCCCATTTGACTGGACCTACCGAGCGAAATAACATGCTCGCCAACGTGGACCCCACGTGTGTCTCTAGCAACACATGTTGTGCAATCTAAGTGGTGCACTCTGTATGGTGCAAGTGACATTGCAGAACTTGACGTTGTCAACCCCATTACTCGCGCAATCATCCCACCCACCACCCACCCACCCACCCACCAGCAACTTCGTTTGCAAAACCCATGCGGCGGCGATTGCGATGACTGCTTGCTGCTGGCTGGCGCATCGCTGCGGCCGCGCTAACGCGCGCAGGTTCGCGGGCAGAGCGGACAGCTACTTTGGCGCGACCGACGCGTCTCGCAAGCCGCGCTGACTCACGGACACGTCAGTGCAAGTCGGTGGCTCGGGCGGGCGCGGTATCATGGCGACGTCGACAGCGGCAGACACACTGATGATAGTAGCGATACGGTGACCTCGGTGACGATGACGACGGCACGGCCAATGACGGCACCGATGCTGGTCACGCCGATGACGATGACGGTGTCCACGTGTCGGCGGTTTAAAAATTTGCCAGATTTCGACATGCGCGCGCGGCCGACGCGCGCGAGGGGCCAGCTTGGTATTATTCAACGAGAATCGCGACCCCCCCCAATAAGCGCTCAAATGCGTTCGAAAGATTTCGACGCACGCGCGCTCGCGGATCTTTTCCCAACCATCCTGTGGTGTTGGGCCCTAGTTTTGAAGAGACAGCGCCCCGCGTCCCACCTCCTCTCCTCCTCTTCCTCCTCACCCGCTTCCCTCCGGACGTCACCCCCCTCACTCTGGCACGCCCCTCACAAGTTTCGTGGCCCCATGGGGAGCTTCACCGAAGGCCCAAATTCCAGCAACCGCATGCGCCTACCGCACCCATTTTGGTACGCCACCTCACACGTTTCGTGGCCTCTAGGGAGCTCCACCGAAGGCTCACATGTCAGCGCTCGCGTGCGCCCACGGCGCCAATTTTGGCACACCCCTCACACGTTTCGTGGCCCCGTGGGGAGCACCACCGAAAGCCCAAATGCCAGCACTCGCATGCGCCCACCGCGCTCATTTGGGCATATACCTCGCACGCGTCGTGGCTGCATAAAGGGGGTCCCACCGAAGGCCCAAGTGCCAGCGCTCTCATGCGCCCACCGCACCCATCTGGCACACGGCTCACACGCCTCGTGGCCTCATAAGAGGCCCCACCGAAGGCCCAAATTCCAGCGCTCGCTTGCGCCCACCGCGCTCACTTTGGTACGCCATCACACGTTTCGTGGACTCGTAAGGAGCCCCACATAAGGCCCGAATGCTACCGTCGCATGCACCCACCGCGCCCATCTTGGCACACCCCTCACACGTTTCGCGGCCCCTTGAGGAAGCCCCACCGAAGGCCCAAATGCCAGCGCTCGCATGCGCCCACCGCACCCATTTTGCCATACATCACACACGCTTCGCGGCCCCTATAAGGAGCTCCACCGAAGGCCCAAATTCTGGCTGTCGCATGCGCTTACCGCGCCCATTCTGGCACACCCCTCGCACGCTTCGTGGCCCCATAGGAAGCCCCATCGAAGGCTCAAATGCCAGCACTCGCATGCGCCCACCGCACACATTTTAACACACCCCTCGCACGCTTCGTGGCCCCCCATAGGGCGCTCCACCGAAAGCCCAAATGCCAGAGCTCGCATGCTCCCACAGCACATATTTTGACACACCCCTCACTCGTTTCATGGCCCCATACGGAGATCCACCGAAGGCCCAAATGCCAGCGCTCGCATGCGCCGGCCGCGCCCATTTCGGCACACCCCTCACACGTTTCGTGGCCCCATACGGAGATTCACCGAAGGCCCACATGCCAGCGCTCGCATGCGCCCACCACACCCATTTCGGCACACCCCTCACACGCTTCGTGGCCCCATAGAGAGGCCCACAAAAGGCCCAAATGCCAGCGCTCGCATGCGCCCACCGCACCCATTTTGGCAGACCCCTCGCACGCGTCGTGGCCCCGTAGGGAGCTACACCGAAGGCGGTGCATACAGCAACGGTACCTACCATTGCATATGGTTGGGTCCGTCGTCAGGCTCATGTTTGAAATATACATGTTGCAAACCATTGGTTTAACATGTGTTCGGGAACCTCGGTCTTGAAATCTGAAACCATACGAAACGTAAGGTGTTGGAAGAATTGCAGCATGCGCGCCCGACGACGCGTGCGTGCCGATTGTGTCATACTCTTGTCCAAAAGCTCTTGGAAGCTGACTGATGATTACTGGTGACGAACGAGCGCACATGAGCTCGTTTGACAGGGATGCGGGGGCGACAACATGTGTAGCTGACATGGTATGGCATCATCATACGTCAATTGCACGATCCCCTAACCCAACGGGCGTCGCGAAAGCCCGGGGGCGGTAGATCCCCACTCCCCATGTAACTCGCGCTTACGAATTTTCAGCTGTGCTGTCAAGAACTGGACCGTGCTCTCGGTCTGGCGGCCGTGTGGCCGCCGTCGCCGCCCCGTCCCCGCTTACTCCAGATTTCGTAATAAAGGGAGAGGGGTCTCATTTCGGGGGGGGTCTCTTCCAGGCCATCTTGGAGGGCCTGGGGGGGTCTGGGGACGATGTTTTGGAGGGTTCTCCCACGGGGGGGGTCTGAAATGGCTTGTCTTGGAAGGTCCAGACCCCCTCCCTTTTATTACGAAAGCTGGAGTAGTCGCCGCCCGTCGCTTCGTCGCCGCCCGTCGTCGGGGCCGCGTTTCCGCATCGGCGGCCACATATGGCCGCCGGCACCCGCCTCGTCGCCGCCCGTCGTCGGGGCCGCGCCTTCGCTCTGGCGGCCACGTGTCCGCCGTCGCCGCCCCGCCGCCGCCTCAGCACAGCCTCACCGAGGCTGGACGTAACCCTCGCGCACTGTAATTTGCATGCAATTGCGTTCCCTCGCCCATGTTCCGTATGAGCTCATACCAGCCCAGCCCGGCCGGCATCGACCCCCCCCGCCGCCACCCCTGTCAAATAATACCGTGCGCGCGCACACTTTCATCCCCAAAAATTTGTCATCGACAACCCTTTGCCAAAGAAGTGCGCCCGCTGTCGTCGCCACGCACACATGCCGAAATCTTGTCAAAAACTCCGGTGTCGTAAGTGATCAGCATCGGCGCCGCGATCGGCCTTGCCGTGGTCATCGCCATCATCGTCACCAGCGTTGTCTGTCATCAACGCGCCTGCCTTTGTCGACGTCGCCATGAGACCGCGCCCGCCCGAGCCAACGACTCGCACTCAAAAGCCCGTGCGTCACCGAGGCGTGCAAGACGCGCCGGGAAGTCCCCGGCGATCAGCGCCACCGCACCCGCGTCGGTCGCGCCAAACTGCCTGGGCGCTCTGCGCGCGAGCCTGCACGCGCTAGCGAGCGCCGAAGCGATGCGCCAGCCAGCGCCAAGCAGCCAGCGCAATCGCCGCCGCATGGTTTTTTGACAAGCCTACACATATCGGATGGGCGGACCGGATCGCGAGCACTGGACTTGATAATTCACTGCGAGCAAACGGTACCTGCGCAAAACATAATTTCCTTTCGCAGCAAAGAATCAATATCCGCCCCCCTCCCGGGATTTTCCCCCCCGCCCTGGGGATGTGCAATTCAAATAAGATTCGGCCCCATCGTTCGTTTCAAATTATGCCCTCATACCATCCCAGAGAGGCCGGTTCGACACCCCCCCACCGCCATTTTCTTTGGATGAACGATACGCGCACAGGCATGTTGCCAAAAACCACCAGTGGCCAAGAACCCGTGCAAAAAAAAGACGGAACGCACAAGCGCGCGTCATCACGCGCGCATGCCAGAATCTGTCAAAAACCGTGGGTTTCGAAAGGATGTCAACAACGACTGCCCAGAAAGCATATGAAAAAACAATTGCTTCGCAACAGGAAGCGCCAAAAACTGCAGCGCTCTTGCGAATTCTCCGGGAGACCGTTGGGACTTCAACCTGTTCATCGAACGCGACCGGAAGGGCTTCTCGCGCGCGCGCATGTCGAAGTCATTCGAACGCCCTTGCGCGCGCGTGCTGGGGGAAGGCACGACCACTGTCAAATAAAACCACGCGGGCCACTCCCGCGCGTCGACCGCGCGCGCATGTCGAAATCTTTCCAAAACGTTCATCACCGACGCGCGGGCACCATCATCGTCAGTGGCGCGAGCAGCCTCGGCACCGTCATTTGTCCTGCCGTCGTCAGCGTCATTGTCGTCACTAGCATCGCTGCAATCGTCATACTGTCTGCCACCGTCGACGTCGCCGTGGTACCGCGCCCGCCCGATTCACCGACTCGCACTGAAGTGCCCGCGCGTCAAAGCAGCCTGCGAAACTCACTGGGAAATGCCCAGCGGTCAGGCGGCCACGTCGGCCGCGCCGGACTAGCTGGCTGTTCAGCAGCGATTTTGCGCGCATTACCGCGGGCAGAGATGCACCAGCCAGCACCAGGCACGCATCACAATCGCCGCCGCAGTGGCTTTGCAAACTAAGTTGCGGGCGGGTGGGCGGGATGATTGCGCGAGCAGTGGTGTTGACAACCCCCTGCGAACAGAAATCAATTGCACCGCATAACTCACTCGCAGAGCAAGTTGCACAGCCTGCACCATATGGGGGTGCACCACTGAGCTCGCAAAACACATGTTGCACATCCCCTGGGGGACGTGCAACACCATGCGGGGGGAGGGCAGATCCGAACTCTCCTTTCGAAATGCGAATATACGTTGTGCAATCTGGGCGGCGACGGGGCGGCGACGGAGCCGCGACGGCGAGCACGGAACTGCCAGACCGACAGCCAGGCCCAAACGACGGGAGGCGACGGTGCGGCGACGGGGCGGCGACGGCGAGCACGGAGCCGCCAGACCGCCAGCCAGGCACACACGATGGGTGGCGACGAGGCGGCGACGAGGCGGCGACGGCGAAAACGGAGCCGCCAGACCGCCAGCCAGGCCCAAACGATGGGCGGCGACGAGGCGGCGACGGCGAGCACGGACCTGCCAGACCCGCAGGCCAGGCCCAATTCCTCAGAAAGGAAACAAAGGCACCCGAAGTGCAAGCACTGTGTCGGGAAAATCTACGTAAACAAAAACTGTCGGAGGTCCGCGCGGACTTGTGGGAATTGCGCTTGGCCCACCTCCCTGGCGCGCGGTGCGCGCCAGGGGCGGCGCTGAAGGCGCCTGCATGGGTGCCCCAGCGCAGAACCAAACTCACGCCCTTGACTTCTTCTTCTGCTTCTCCGAGGACCTTCCGCATCTTCACGATCTCGATCCCGTACTCGGCGTTCACGCACAGGCTCCCAATCGTCCTGCCGGCGACCAGCGACCCCTTCACGACCCGGAACTTGAGCGTCGGCACCTTCACGACAGGCTGCGCCTGCACCGCGCGCCCGCCTGCCTCGGCCGCCGCCGCCGCGGCGTGGGCCTGGGGCGGAGCCAGCTCGGCCTCGATCTCGGCGCTCCCGCCACGGCATGGGCGCCGCCCCGCTCGCCCGGTGGGGGGCCTGGACGGGGGCACGGGGGGGGCGCCGTCAGCGGCCCCGGCCGTCGCCTCCTGAAACACCAGGCTGCGGTGCAGGCGGACGCCCTTCTCCGTCAGGAAGCTCGGGAGCGCCCAAGAGGGGGGCACTCGGCAGGGGGGTCCTCCTCCTCCTCCTCCTCCTCCTCGTCCGCCTCCTCCTTCTCTTCATCGTGCTCTCAATAATAGCAATTGTCATAGCATTAGTATTCTCATGATTACGTTTATGGCTATGGTAGTAATGATTAGTGTTAGCATTCGCAGTAGTATGAATATGGATTTGATTAGTAGTAGCATTCGCAGTAGCATGAATTTTAATATTAGAATTACTGTTAGCATCAGTTGTCGTATTAGTATTTGTATAGGATGTGTATCACTAGTACCAGTGTTAGTCATAGTATTGTCAATGTTAGTAGTTAGTAGTAGTAGTAGTAGTAGTAGTAGTAGTACTACTACTACTACTACTACTACTACTACCACTACTACTACGACTACTACTACTACTACTACTACTACTACTACTACTACTACTACCACTACTACTACTACTACTACTACTACTACTACTCTACTACTACTACTACTATACTACTACTACTACTACTACTACTACTACTACTACTACTACTACTACTACTACTATACTACTACTACACTACGACTACGACTACGACTACTACTACTACTACTACTACTACTACTACTACTACTAACTACTACTACTACTACTACTACTACTACGACTACTACTACTACTACTACTACTACTACTACTACTACTACTACGACTACGACTACCACCACCACTACTACCACAACTACGACTACTACTACTACTACTACTACTACTACTACTACTACTACTGAGTACTACCACTACTACTACTACCACTACTGCTACTACTACTACTACTACTACTACTACTACTACTACTACTACTACTACTACTACGACTACGACTACTACTACTACTACTACTACTACTACTACTACTGCTACTACTACTACTACGACGACGACGACGCCGACGACTACTACTACTACTACTACGACGACGACGACGACTATTACAACTACGACTACGACTACGACTACGACTACTTCTACAACTACTACAACTGCTACTACCACTACCACTACCACTACCACTACTACTACTGCTGCTGTTGCTACTAGTAGTATTGGTATTTGACTAAGAATAAGCATACACAGAAAGAGTACATGTATTGATAGTGGCATCATGATTATTTGAGTTTGAGGTACTCTAAGAAATGACATTCGTGTTCTCATTGCTCTTCTTATTCTGAAGATTATGACTACGACCTTATATGCTTATGAGTGTGACTGCAAAGATGCTTACTTGTATGATTATGGTTCTGAGTAAAATGCTTAATAATATGACTAAGATTCTTATAAGTATTCAAATTATGATGACGAATATGATGGTTACTCGTAATATCCTTATTGTTAGTACTCATAATACCATCATTACTATTGTCATTGATGTTGTTGGTGTGATGTATCTTCCTCCTCCCCCTCCTCCTCCTCCTCCTCCTCCTCCTCCGCCTCCTCTCCTCCTCCTCCTCCTCCCCCTCCTCTTCCTCCACCTCCCCTCATCATCACAATCATCATCACCAGCATCAGCATCAGCATTACCATCGCCATCATCATCAACATCAGCATCAGCATCATCATCAGCAGCATCATCATCACCATCACCATCACCATCACCTTGCGGGATCCGTGCGGAATCTTTTGAGACTCTTGGGGACCTCTTGGGGCTTCCTGGGGGCAAGAGGGCCACTTGGGCCTCTTCGAGGTCTCTTGGGAGCCTCCTGGGGCCTCCTGGGCCCTGTCTCGACTGTCTCGGGGCCCTCTCGGGCTGGTTTGGGGCACTCTTGGAGGTCTGTCGGGCCGTCTTAGGGCGATCTTGGGGGCCTCGTGGGCCGTCTTGGAGCGTCGGGAAGCCGAGAAGGCGAGAACTCAAAAATCCCCCACAAACCACAGGCAAATCAATAATTGTGCCTCTTGGGACCCTCTTGGGAGTGCTCCTGGAGACCTCTTGGGACATTGTGGAGCGATCGTTGGGGGTATGACGGTTCCTTTGGAGTCGTCGTCGACCGTCTTGGGGCTCTCCCGTGTCGTTTCGGGAGCGCGCCAGAACGTCGGGGAACCTCTGGGGCCGTCTTCGGGCTCTCGTGAGGTTCTCCCAGGTCGTCTGGGGCGCTGCCCGAAATTCCCAGGGCGGGGCGAAAATATATGATTAGGAGTATGTAAGTATGTATGTATGTACGTACGTACGTACGTACGTATGTGGATGTATGTATGTATGTGCGCATGTATGTATGTATGTATGTATGTATGTATGTATGTATGTATGTGTGTATGTATGTGTGTATGTATGTGATTGTATGTATGTATGTATGTACGTACGTACGTACGTATGTATGTATGTATGTAGGTATGGATGTATGGATGTATGGATGTATGGATGTATGGATGTATGTATGTATGTATGCGTGCATGCGTGTGTGCATGTATGTGTGTATGAATATACACTCATACATACATGCATGCGTGCATGCATGCATACATGCATGCACGCATGGATGCTTGCATGCAAGCGCACGTACGTACGCACATACATACCTGCATACATACAGACAGACAAACAGACAGACAGAAATACACAAACGTACATACGTACGTACGTACGTACATACATACATACATGCTTGCACACATACGTACAGACCATACATACGTACCATAAAAGCGAGATACACAATACATACAATACATACATGCATGCGTACATGAATGCATGCATACAAGCATAAATGCATTGATGCATGTATGCATGCATGAATGAAAACCCACACACATACATACATACTTACATACATACATACATACATACATACATGCCTACACACATACATACATACAACAAACATACAAAAATACAGACATATAGACATACATACAGACATACAGACATACAGACATGCATATATATACACATGCATGCATGCATGCATACATACATGCACGCATACATACATACAAACACACACAGGCATACATAGATATCGACATGTCGACATGCACACACATGTATGCATGCATTCAAACAGACATACATGCATGCATACATGCATACATACATGCACGCATACATACACATGCGCATGTATGAATACATGTATACATATATATATATATATATATATGTGTCTATATATATATGCACGCATGCGTACATACGCATATACACACACACATCGACATACATTGCATGCATGCATGCAGACATGCTCACCGATTTAGTTTGCATGCATGTATGCATACACGTATGCAGTTATACATACATACCGGCATACAGATATGCATGCATGCATGCATGCATGCATACAGACATACATACATACATGCATGCATGCATGCATGCACACATACATACATCAATCGCATACATACGTACACTCATATATCTATATATATATATATACAATCATATATATATATATACTAGAACCATCGCGCGCGCTTCGCGCGCGCTCAAGTTCTAGCCCAAGCCGGGGGCGCTGGAAGATCTTGGACAGCGCTATCAAGCACAGGCGCGAGACATAGTCGTGCCTCCTGAGGGCCTCTTGGGGACCTCTTGGGTCTTCGTGGGGGCATCTGACGGGCTTCTGGGGGGTTCTCCGTGCTTCCTCAATTACCTGTTGGAGGCACCTCTTGGGTGCTTCTGGGGGGGGCGTCCTGGGGCTTCTTGGGGTCCCTTGGGAGCATCGTCGGGGTTCTCCGGGCAGTCAGAAGGTGATGTTTCAAGTCTGAAGCCGTCATGGGCCGTCTTGGCTGCGTGGAGGTCTGACTCGAGGGCACCTGGGGCTACACTGAGGCAATCCGGAAGCCTCCTGGGGGCCTCCTGCAGACAGTTTTGATGCATCGAGGGCGCTGTTGGGCAATCTTGGGGCCCCTTGTACGTCTCCTTGGGGCCTTTGGGGGCCACTTGGGAGGAGTATGGGGCCTCGTCGGACCACTTGGGGACTCTTGGAGCCTTCTCTGGCCTCTTAGGGCGGAAGACTCTGCTGTTGAGTTCGCGTTCCCATTCTTGGGCCTCTCTTAGGACCGTCTTGGGGCCCTCTCGGGCCGTCTTGGGCGCCTCAGGCACCCTCTTGGGGCCTCGTGGGCCGTCTTGGGGCCCTTTTGGAGGCCTCTTCGGCCATCGTGGAGCGGTCTTGGGAACCTCTTGGGCCGTCTTGGAACGTCGGGATGCTGAAGCGGAAAAATCAGTGATTTTGGCTTCTTGGGGCCATTTGGGGAGTGCGGGCCATCCGGAGGCCATCTCGGGCGCGTAAGAACGATAACTCCGCGATAGTAGGCCTCCTGGAGGCCTCTCGCATAGTAGGCCTCCTGGAGGCATCTCGCGGCCCTCTTCATCTGTGTTCAGGCTGTCTTGGGCGGTCTGGAAGCGTTCCTGGGCCCGACACCCCCATGGCGCGTCGGGGGGCCCCCCGCCTCGGTCCAGGGATATCTATATGTATAGATGGAATCATATGTATCTACACGTATACACACATATGTCGGGGGCCTCTTCGAAAGAGTTTTGAAGCCTTTTGGGTGCCGTCTCGGGGCTCTCTTGGAGCCTCTTTGGGGCTTATTGGGGGTCTCTTGGGGCCTCTTGGGGGCCTCTTGGGGCCTGTTGGGGGCTTCCTGGGGGCCTCTTGGGGGCATCTGGGGGCGGAGACATTGATTTTTCAGCTCTCGTTCCCTCTCTTGGGCTCCTTTTGGGGCCTTCTTGGGACCCTCTTGCGCCGTCTTAGGCGGCTCTGGGGCCGTCTCGGGGCTCTCTTGGGCCGTCTTGGGGCCCTCTTGGGGGCCTCTTGGGCTGTCTTGGAGCAGTTTTGGGAGCCTCTTGGACGGTGCGTTAGTGCCAGAAACACGAAATAGCGAGAATGCAATAAACATTGACAAAACCA